CGAAGAAATCATCAACAACAACATTTTTCTCACTATAATAACACACCAGAAGCAATGGCCTCATCGATGGTTTCAAATCCCTACACAGTCCATCCCATGGCTCAACACTCCTCCTACACATATGTTAACGCCCCTCAACCACCACCTTCACCACCCGTCGACGAAACATCAAAGTGTTCCCTACCATCCATTTCAAGTCTATTGGGTTTGGCCGATGGATCGAGTCCTACAGAGCAAGCTCAGCAGCAGTCATCGCCACAACAAGGTCAGTGCTCTCAGATCTTCTCCTGTGTTTCAAATAATTGATTTTGTCCCTCAGCAGCTTTCAAGGAAGATTATAGACCAGAGTCTGGACATCAGTACGGTCCTTCCTCAGCAATGAGCTCTCGAGGTGCTCTTCCACCCACACCTCCAATGCAATCTGACGGCGGCTTCGACGGCAGACAATCACCGTCTCAAGCATCTAGTTCATCATATTCAGTAGTCCCCGCACCAAATTATTATTTTAATCCTTCTCAAGTCTCGGCCATCAACAATATGGAGCCTCATGCACAACGCCAACCACTCCAAACTGTTACTCGAAGAGTTTCAATGCCAGTGTCTTCAATGCAATATGGTCATTCGCCTTTCAACGGATCATACACTATGTCTCCTGGCGCCCAATCTTTAAGCTCTTACTACCCGAGCCCAATACAAACACAATCTCCCCAAGTTTCTGGGCTGTACTATCAAAGACCACTTCCACAGGTATGTTCATTCATTATCATCAAGACACAAGAAGTAGTGTAACTAATTCGTCTACAGCAATTCCCTCCACCAATGATGCCAGTGTCTGTGACCCTGACTCCATCATCCGGTGCTAATCCATGGCAACACCATCATTATATCTCCCCTTCGTCAGCAGCCTCGTTTCCTCAGTCACAAGATAGATATATCTGCCAGACTTGCAACAAGGCTTTCTCAAGACCATCGAGTCTCCGAATTCACAGCCACTCACACACTGGCGAGAAACCCTTCAAGTGTCCACATCAAAACTGTGGGAAAGCCTTCAGCGTCAGGAGTAACATGAAGAGACACGAGCGAGGTTGCCACAGTTTTGAAAGCGGCTCAATGGTCTGAGTGCTCTCTAAAGGGGTTGAGCGGCGATGACCGATGGTCTTTTTTTTCACTTGTCAATAATGTATAACTATCTGGGTATTGTGTGGGATGGCTTTCCTTAATCACGATACCCGCCCTTTTGGTCTATGTTTCTTATTCTTGGGAGGATTTGTATATTTACGAAGGGCGTTTAGAAACACTGGAGGCTGGATAATATCTGCGGTCCGCATTTACATGGGCGTTAATGGCTATTAGTTCCTCTGAGGTTACGAGAGAACGGATTTGAATGTAAAGACAAGGTTGAGACGAAGAGATCGCAAGGTCTCGAGGTTGCTCTGGAAAGAGAAAGGAATAGGAAGGCGGAGAACTTCATAAAGAGGTGCTTGGAAATACATCACCATTCTCTAGAGAATAGATAGATGATAGTGTAAAAGTAATTGAATCAATTCAAAAGCATTACCTGAAAAGGACAAAGAAATATCTCTCCTTCATCTTGAACTTCCAGAGCTTTTCGCGTTGAGTCAAATCTTTATTCATAGAAAGTGTTACAGACTGTCATTGTTTCGCACCATAATCTTTGGATTTACAAATCTGTTTCAACCACAGCTACTAGACAAAGACTTTCAAGATTCAAATTTCTACAGGATACTATCATACATCCTGTGCGCAGCGTCTGGCGCTCAAGTCTATCACAGATGTCTCGAGAGTAGCTTTCATAAGATCCACTCCCCATCCTCTCTACATGAAAAAAATTCAAATGATAAAAAGAAAAAGGAGCATCACACTCCCCACTCTTCCACCTTTGCAAGAAACGTTACAACTTACAACTTACGACGGCATTTGAACGAAAGAACCTAGACTTGAATCCACAGTAGACCTCAATGACCCAAAGTGCAAGAAGATCCGATCTACTGCATCCTGGGACCGTCCGCCCACTATCAACGGTGGCTATGGCCATCACTGGCAATCAACTTGCGCCGTTGCGGAAATCATTTACCCACTTCTCTGTGATTTTCTTGCCACTGTGCTTCAATTTCCCTTCGTATTTCTACCTGTCAACTATAGTAGTGATGTATGGAGTTAGAGAAACATGTCTGGTAAAGTTATTTACACTGTCCGAATGTCAGACTGGTCATTGTGCATTGAGAACCATTATGGATCGAATCATCCGCGACCGGGGACTTCGCGGGAAAAGTAAGTTAACACTAATAAGATTGACAGATACGTACTCTAGACGATGATCTACGATTTAGAGGATTTCTGATTCAGAGATTGACATTAGTCCTTGACCGTACATATCAAAGTTCAATAGTGCGGTAAAAGAGTTTCGGCGCATGTGAGGGGAACCTGGGAAGCAAATCAGGTTCTAACTTTGGTCACTTGAGTGAACAGCCGAGCTACAAGCCTGACTTGGACATTAACTCTATTTTACAGTGTGCCTGATTAATAACTTGAGAGTGACGAAATCTAAATCCCGAAAAGTGCATATTCAGGGTTTGCCAATAGCAGATACCTACCTGTGGGCTTGTAAATTCAAGATCCGGGACCCAGAGTAGCATTTGCTCCATTTTGCGTATTCGCTCCACAGTGCAGGAAGTATGCAAGCGGGAGTATACAACGAAGTGTGTTCGAAATTCAGAAATTCCCGCCGTTTCCGGGAACCCAATAACACTTACTTGCGAGTGGCCTCGGAGCTCTAACGCAAAGAAAAAGACTTACAACAACAAGGCCTGTCCTTTCCATTCCAAAGCCTCCAGACGCTATAAACACACTACAGCGAGATGCCAAACCGTCACACACAGCTAAACTTCATCACCAACGCTCTGAATCCACTACCCACCCTCTCAATTCAAGGAATCCCCCGCGATCCACTTTCACATAACACTTTGATTTACTTTTTAACTCCTATCCGCCTGATCCCTTGCCACGAGCCCTGTATACCTGTCGGGGTTTTATTACTGAAGAGTTAAGACAAGTATGTGCCATTGCACATCACATCCCTCAAACACATCGCTTAGAGCGACAGACAAGCTACCCTTCGCGAACTGTCCCCACTGAGGTCGTGTCAAGGTCGTGTCAAGCCATGCTGCTTATCCACACAATGGCACTGATAATCGACGTTTAAGATTCTCTCCATCGACGCCCCGTAATCTTCATCTCTGGTCCCATACCCGAATACAGGAATCGTGCCTCTATATCGGCAATAACAGCTCTCAGATATAGCCCAATTCATGATTCATTCCCGGTCCCAGCATGATCCAAATCTCTCGGTCCCAGAAGGGGAATGCATTGGAACTTTCTTCAATATTGACATCCATCGGAGATTTGATAGGCCACGCAATATATTTATCGATTCTATCTTCTGTACTCTAGAAGATGTTTAACCCTTCGACAATGCCAATTATTGTTGACAAATCGAATAAAATGCTTAATATATTGATACCTAGGAGCTTTAGACGTTATTGAAAAGGTACTATGGGTGGGGATATAAGGGGTCAAACCACCCGCCAAGCACATTGACACTCATCTAAGCCCTACAACGTGTCTGAATTGATCAATACACGCACGGAGTACATGCCCAAACTTTAATATTGTATTCCCTCTTTGATGATATCAAATATCAACATAAATTAAAAGTCCAGGAAGTACTTCCCAAAACAATTCGACGTGTTTGCAAGCATCGCGGGAGAAGAACGGAAACACTAATTTCACCACGTGGAATTTTTTAATGGGTGAGGGATAAGCTTCGGGGATTAGGTTTGTTTTCTTCTTGGGATAATATGTCGATATTAATTGATGTTCAGGTACTACCAAATGGAGCATTAAGATGGATCTTATTCCTTAACTATGCGTAGTATAGACTTGTGCTTGCGGAAATTTGTTTATGGTATATTGGGGAGAATTAAGATACTAACTAGTATCTCGCTCTAGTGACGGCAACTACCTCTGCAAACATTTTTAACGTGAATCAAGTCACCGCTATTAGAACCCACCACACTACTGGTGTCTAACGGACGTTTACCTGTCGTTCTGGCGATATATGTTTCAGAACCCGCACAGAGGTCTAAGATCTGCCAGCACTTCTGGGCACTGACTCGCCAACAAGCGTCCTGCACGCAAAACGGTGAAGATTTATGAATCAATGGACATGGGAAAAAGAGGAGGACCCGGTATCCTGTCAATTTTCTAAATTCCGTAGATGCTTAACCCTGGTTTTTGCGGGTAAAATTAAGTTCGCAATCGATCTGGGTCCTGGCTCCATTTTTCATCCCATGCTCTCATCATGCACTGGCAATAATCCGGGATACCTCGTTGCTACGTATAACATACATGTGCTATCAAATGATAAATTTCCAAATTGTGCAAAAGCAAAAGACATCGGGTTAACCGTGGCCCATTAACATTCCGAGATACCTCAATTTCCCCGACACTTTAACTCACCCGAATACTTCCTCCAATGGCCCAAACAAAACGATGGCAATATACATCATACCGGCCCCCACGCGCACCCTCGAATCCCGCCTAATACCCCAACATTCCAGTGATTCCACTCCTTCAAATGCAACACAACATATGATAAACGAGTTTCTAAGTCGAGACATTATCCGCGATTCATCGTACGATGTTTTGACATGTCCCAGGTACTGAAATCTACCCAAGCTTCTTTTTCAGCACCTATCTCCCCCAGCCACATCATTCCCAAATGACGAGTGAAATGCTCCGGAGGATGTGCATTTGTCGAAGAAGATCACGGTAGCCCTTACCGAGATGAGATGATATGCTTTTTTGGGAAAAATGTCTCGGATGCCCTGGTTGGTGAATACGGTATCCTTAATTGAGGATATAATCATGTACTAGGAACGAATCTCCGGGAGTTTTCTGGAAAATTGTTTTCTTGGGTTTTATGATTGCCCAATAATTGGAGATGATGTGGGAACGAATGGGTATTGAGATCGAATGCGAATTCTATGTAAATGTTGACCAGGGGTATACGTCATATCCTGCAATTTTGTGAGTTTCAAGGCTTCCTCTTCGAGAATCTTCCTCCTTTCTGAATCATTCTGATACCACGGAGCCATCCTTGTTGACATTTTTGTGAATCGTGATGAAGCAAAATACCTTGTCCATGGTGGCGGACAGCTCAGAAAGTCGGCTCACCGGGTGATTGCCATGTAAGTAAGATCGCGTTGGGCGATCTAGATGTGATAATTCCCCTTCAATCTCGCTGTACGGAGTAAAGCAGAGTAGTTAGATTTAATATACAATTGGTTCAATTCGACATTATTTAAATCGCCAGCATGGTATTATCCTGTCTAGAGGTGTCGATAATTCTTGTTCCTGATCTTATGCCGCTACTAAGAGGAAAGATTTTGCCGAGGTTTGCCGCATGCTTTTTGTCATCGAGTAGTAATACGACAGAAAACCTTGGCTCTTCAGGCAATGGAAAGTATTTACGTCAACGAATCAAAAATTCATGATGGCAGGTGATACCAATTGATCTAAGATAGAGGATGTTGATTAGATCTGTTGCGAGCCAAAGCAGGCAATTTTTGAGCTTCGCTTCTCATAATCATGATGATCGACGCCGGTACCCCTAGCTTCATATATGACATGTCTAGGATGTCTAAGTAATACATCAAAATTTATTGCTCGATTCACTAATTGAGGGCTTGAAAGGTTGACAACGAGCAAATCTGATCAACATTCACAGTCTATTGCGGTTTTCTGACTTAGTGTACTTTGTGGAAATCCAATTCGAACACAAGCCAGAATGCTTAATTAGTGAACCGATGTTTGACGAGCTCTGTTCCAAGCTGCATGATTTCATTTAGTGGGGTCGAAAATCCCAAAGGAGCAAATGACAGTCAATCTAGACCAAAGATAATGCGAGATGTGTTCAGCGTTGAGGATGACCACGATGACCTGCGACAGAACAAACGTGTTAAAGTGCAGCAATCGCTCAAAGTGTAAAAGTACACAACCATTATGCTGAGCATTATTAGCAACAACTGAGGTAACGACTACGGCCATAAGATGGAAGAATAAAAGTAACTAGACTAGAAAGAAACTGGGTGGAGATCGTCTGCTCCCTAGAAATAAAATATTCTGGAGGGGGCTCATAAAGGTGACGATGTAGATTGAAACGGCGCAATTAATATTGCAATATATCAAGCTTTGTTGATTGAGTCATAAGTGTGTCCGCGGAGACAATGCGCGTCTCTGAGAATTCTAGATTCAAGCTGTCAATCTTGATGCACAGGGCAATCATAACGCTTGAGACTAAGAACCGTTCGAGGTACACTGTAAAAGGCCAGCCTTTTCTTCATCAGATATTTGTAAGTGGTGCTGTGTGAAACTGGTAATTAAACTGACCCTCGATCTCCTTCCTCAATGCACGCACACTCCAACTCCTTGATCGAGCGAAGAGACTCTTTCCCTTTCTAGATCTTCAAACCATCCTTCCCCTCTCGTCCCCAACATTCCTTCCATATTCATTTAATGGCCCCTCTGTCTCCATTACGGATCGGCGTGAGTATTGGGATCTGCAGACCACAAATCACGGCTTTAGTTTAAACCGTTTCCGGAGCATGCAGCTAATTTACACGTATGTTGATGCAGGTGGTCGTTTGATGTTGATAATATAAAGTTGCCAGTACCTACGTGTTTCGTACATATATTTCCGCCGGGTAAATGGACGTGGTCTCAACAACCCAAGCAGGCTTCTTTTGGGCTGTCAATCACAATGCGGAGAGTGATAATTTGGTCGAAGAAAGGCTTACTAAATGACATGCTTGATTTGAATCTCTCTGAACTCGTCTCTTCTACCCTTTGCATGTGCAAAATGTGCAAGATGAGCTGCCTAAGAGATATTATAATCGAATTTCTGTTGTGGAGACTGTAGCGACTGTATAGGCGTCTGCGAGTGAAGGTTAAAGTGGATGGCAGCGTGCCATCACTATTTTCATGGTCTGTAGGAGGATAATCAGGGTGGCGCATACATTTTGCGGTTCCCACATCTATACCTACACGAGAAAAAGCATGAACAGTCACCGCCCGTTCACTTCCCAATTATTGACTCTGCTATCCGCTCAAAATGATACCCAACTTCAATCGCTTAAATAATGAGCATGTGCTGTCAAGTAACAACAATACTATGCATCAACAACTTCTCGAGGCTACATCCTGTGATACATGTCTCAATCAAACAACCAAAAATTGATCTATTTCGGGCTACTAGCAAGTTCATACCTCCAACGAACTGTTGTGGGTACCGATATTTCTTAACTTTGATGCTTGAAAAGAACCTACTGTAGTCCAATACGAGACAATTTTGAACGAAGCAGAAAAATTTGTGACAGTACATTGACTCATTTTGAGACAGTAAAGATTCTCATATATGGAACGATCGCTTTCCATAGACAGAACGATAGAAGTGAATATGGCTGGCTCTCGTGTTTGGATCTTGGACCATTATTTCGGCAGCGGGCTCAGAGTTCCAGTTACTAAGCAGGTAAAGATAATGGTCTATAGATACTGTTTGTAAAAAAAATTGCCCAGGCATGTATATACTGAGAACAACTGGCAATGAGATTGATAGTTTGTAACCAAGAAGCTGTCTGGTTATGGGGCTGGTTCTGGCAATGAAGGATATAGCTGAGAACTTTCTGTCAATGAGCCTTCGTCCCAGAATCCACCACCTTTCTCCTCAAAAAGAGGAAACAGGAGCTGAGAAGCGTCCAGTGAAGCTTTCACTATGAGCGAATCTGTATTTTATCAGTCAGTCCAGGAACTTAGAGGTCAACGTGATGGAAATGATCCGAAGGAATATCTGATCATGGCTTGCTCATTTGACCACTTTCCTTGTGGGGTTTAAAGAATATGATGTAGTATACCACTTGTCTCGACTGTAGTCCTGTAGGCTTATATATGCTATCATATATGGCACAATCATTCAGTGTGATCGAGAGAAGATGAAGTCTGGGTTCTGTTGTTGAACATCGTACCACAGGAAAAGGTTCCTAGATCCCATGTGATATCATAGACGAGGCTGATAAGCCCCATGGAAGATGGTCCGAGCTTTGTCAGCCTTGAATCGCATTTTATCTTACCGATTGCTCCAATACCTACTTCAATTATCAGTTTGAAGTCGAATTCATTAATCATAGACCAAAGAAGGCATCAAAGACAGATAATCATGGATTCAATGGATGTTGATTCTCGTATCGAGACGCCTCAGGTTGTTGGTGAAGTCGAGGTAAGCCATTCTTTTCTTCATACCCAAGCTCTCTTGGTAGAGCCTTGCGCGGTGTTGACCTTCAGATTTGTACCAAATGTTCCTGCTTGAATTGACTTGTTTTATAGTCAATGGATACCGAAACTTCAAGCATGGTTCCAGTTGAGGAACCAGTCGAAACCTCAAATAAAGCTTCAGTTGTTGAAGATTTGGTTGAAGAACAAACAGAGGAGCAAACAGAAGCCCAGATGGCTGCTCCAGAACCCCCCAAACCTAAACCTTCTGCTAGCAAATCCAAAATATCAAACAACGCTCCTGGTTACAGATATAAATATCCTGAGGCGAAGCCGACACCTCCCGGTGTAGATGATGATAGATGGAATAAGATCTACGTTGCCGCAGATTCTCGATTTTATAACAGAGCCAAAAAGAATGCGTCTGAATCCAGAAAGATTAGACTGACCGGTGAAACTTATCAACTGGCACTCAGAATCTTAAAGGAAAGGGACGAGAAGGAAGCGGAGGCCGCGGCAGATTTGGCTGCTGGCATAGCACCTCCTCCCAAAAGAACGCCGAAGCCCAAGCCACCGCCCCGAATGCCAAAAGCTCCATCTACAAGCTCAAGAGACGGTACGCCAAACTTCAATGATAGAATACCATTAAGTATCTCCGAACAAATCAAGAGTGAAGGTCGTGCTCGAAAGGCGCTGCCATCCTCTAGTCAAGGATCACCGGGGCCATCTGCTCCTAAGCATAGCAGCCCTGTACCTTCACAGATAAAGTCGGAGAAGGGACCGATGCTAAAGAAGAAGAGCACCGTCGCTCCTTTCAAAAAATTCCAACCCAAAGCAGCCAAGCCCGAAGGTACAGTTCCCACTAGCGCAGATACAAACATGACACCTGTACACACTAATTAATACATTTGCACAGGCCCTACAGATGCTAGATCGCAACGTAATAGCGCCACTCCTGGTGGAAGAAGTGGCCCGTCCGACGATGATGGTAGCAACGATGGTGGTGAATACTGTATATGTCGCGGTCCTGATGATCACCGCATGATGATATTTTGTGATGGAGGTTGCCAAGATTGGTACCATTGCTCATGCATCGATGTTGATGTCGAGGACGCGAAAAATTTGCTCGATCGGTTCATTTGTCCAAATTGCAGCTCCGAAACCGAATTCACTACATGGAAGCGAATTTGCAGATACCATAACGTTGATGGATGTCGGAAGGCTGCTCGTGTTATGGACGAGCCACCTAGCAAGTATTGTAGCGACGAGCACGCAACTGCTTTTTGGGAATTTGTTGCCGCAAAGTTGCGCTCTAATAAAAAACGTACTATAGGCGGTGCATTGAACGAGGAAGAATTTGGAGCGTTGTTGACTTCATGTAAGACGGCAGCCGATTTCCATGCCCTTGGTTCAAGGCCGAAGTTGCCAATACCTGAAGGACACGACCCAAGTCAACCACTAGGTCTCAACTATCTGCTTCCCGAAGAAGAATCTACTATAAACAAGATTAAGGCTGGACGCACAGTGATTGAACAACGCATTGAAGGTTTCAAAATGGCTCAGAAACTTTTGATTATGATGAACCGACGTGCTAAGATCGCACAAGAACATCCAGATGTCGAGGCCAAGGAGATTTGCGGGTACGACAATCGTCTCGCTCTCAATGAGTATGAGTTTGGTGCTTGGTGTGCAAGCGAAGAGGGCAAAGGTTATCTCGCTACTGGTATTCTCGGTCCTCGTACCGAGGAAACAAAGCATCTTGGTGAAACTACTCCATATCCTGGTCAGGTCATTCCGGATACTGGAGATATACCTGACGAACTAAAGAATCTGTGTATTAAGC